CCCAGTGGTACAGAAGAACTTTGGGTGACTATCCAGGCAGTGAGATGTTTCTGTCATTTCTATAGTTTTGGAAGTTGCTTACAATGCACATTCTGTTTACTTAGGTAATATATCCTTCTGGAGTCTTTGATGGAGCTGAAGAATAGATAGATAGCTATAGTTGTAGTTTTCCTTAGTTATGATAAAAGATAAAGTAGATATAAATATTGTAACTGTAATTCTTTCTTGATACCTGTTTTGTTATATGTAATTTTACTATGTTAAAGTTAAAGCCTTCCTTCTTTGTTTAAACAGAAAAGGGAAAATGGTGTGAAAGGTCCTTCCGTCTTTGTGTTGCTTTCATTGGTTAATGAATAAAGAAACTGCCTTGGCCTGTTGATAGGGCAGAACTTAGGTAGGCAGGGAAAACTAAATGACATGCTGGGAGAAAGGAGGCAGAGTTAGGAGAAGCCATGGATCCTTTGCCTGAGACAGACACCAGTTAGAATCTTTGCTGGTAAGCCACCGCCACATGGTGATATACAAATTAATAGAAATGGGTTAAATTAATATAAGAGTTATCCAATAAGAAGTTAGTTAGAGCCAATGGGCCAAGCAGTGTTTTAATTAATACAGTTTTCTGTGTGGTTATTTTGGGGCTAAGCTAGCTGAGCGGTCAGGATGAACAAACAGGCCCCTCCTCCTACATAGCTTGACTTGTTTCTTGCCAGATTTTCTTAACTTATATTATTCCAACTTCCTTTTGCCTTTGTACTTTGACTTCTTTCTCCATGGCTTGCTGTATAGCTGGGTGACTGGTCCCTGACGTCCTCCTCTCCTTGTTCTAGCTTGCTCCCCTCTTTTCCTTGGTTCTCCTTCTATTTATACTCTCTGCCTGCCAGACCCACCTATTGTTGCTCCTGCCTCACTATTGGCCATTCAGCTCTTTATTAGACCATAAGGTGTTTTAGACAGGCAAAGAATCACAGTTTCATAGCATAAACAAAAGTAACACATCTTTACATCATTAAACAAATGTTCCACAGCATAAACAAAACTAACACATCTTAAAATAATATTCCCCAGCATATGCATGTGTATAAATATATATACATATTATACATACATACATACATACAATATGTATACATGAAGACATATCTTTGGGATGGAAGGGACCCAAGGTGAAAAATACCTCTTATTTATTTCTCATCTATATCTTATATAACACCTTGACTGAACTTTCACCTGCACTTGCTTTGAGACTGTCACATAGGGTCAGGTGTGAAATTTCCACTTATCCTGTTGAAATTTCGGAGCATTTCTGACTTTAGGCTCTCAGATTGTGAGTCTAATCTGCACTGCTATTTGTTCAGAGTGGCTTTAGTCCTGGAAGCTGTGTTCTGTCACTTATATCCCCGAGGTAAATTACACTGTGTGTTAGGATTAGTCGGACCTAGCACAGGCCACAACTAGTGAAGCTAGAGGCCCTGACTATGGTTGTTTCATTTTAAATAGAAACTGTCATTTCTGTTCTCAGTGTTGATATGTAAGGAAAACATGACACACATGTTAGAAGCATTGTTTGGGCAAGCCATCTTTTATATAAAAAGATAACCCCATTAGTTAGGAGAGGCCAAAAGACTCAAACATGGAAGGAAAAGTGTAGTTTTTATTTTAACCAGAGAGCCAAAAAGTGGTTTTGCATGTGTGTATGTATGGTGCTTGAGGAGTGTTGGGTTGGGTAAAGAGGAAGCCTGGCTCAGTACTATCCATGCATAAGTAAATGCCTAAACTTATCGTTGGACTGGTATTTCCATGTCTATTTCAGACCCTTTCTTTTAAGCATACTTTTAGGAATAATTATTACTCTCTTGGAGACTTTGTGTTGTAAAGCTAAGGCTTTGCATGAGCTTTTGAAGTAGGTCAACCAAGAGGCACTGTCTGGGTCTGCTGCCTGTGTTTTGTTTGCATGGCTTTTTAATTAAACCCTTTCCTTCTCCACATGAGAGCTGCACTGTCCTGCTTGGCATGGCTTACCTATTCACACTAGCAGAGGTCTCAAATTGCCATGCGTGAACATGTGGACAAAAAGATTATGCAGGGCCTGCTGACTTCGGCTTCTGATACAAGTGTTTCCAGACAGCGGGTGCTGCACGGTGATATCAAGAGTCACCCTGTTACTCAGGGGTAGGTAGGGCTCAATGCCTTACCCAATCAAACCCGGAACAGAATGTTACTGAGTAAGCAAGGCAGGCCAGTGCACGTCCTGGTTCCAGAGGCACTGCTTACTGTGAGTCTCAGATAAGTTTTTAACTCTTCTGAGCCTCTATTTTCTTGTTTGTTTTTTTTTTTGGGGGGGGGGGGTCAGGATTTTGTGTAGGCCAGGCAGGCCTTCCTATGTAGTTGAGGTCAACCTTACATTCCTGGCCTTCTTGCCTCTACCTTCCAAGTGCTGGGATTACAGGCGCTTTACTACCCCCACCAGCTTCTCTAAAAACTGTCACTGGATCATGGAAACTACATAAACACCACATGGCACACCTTTAGCTCCAATGCTGAGCGCGCAGAGGATGCTTCTGTAATTCATGTGGCAGTGACATTTAACTCACCTCAAGCAATGTGGCTATAAAACCCAGTCCTAAGTGGGCAGTAAGGTTTTTCCATTCTGTTTTTTATTTAATGTGATTTTTTTGAAGCCAGTAGTTATGGAGTGCAGCTCCAGATCTTACTAGAAAACATAAATAACCTGCAATATTCAGCTCACAGCACGTTATTTCTTGAGAATTCAGAAGATTTTGAATTTAAAAAGACAGGATTTTGGACCATGAGCTTCAGAGTCATGTCAGAGGATCATGGTAACTGCTTAAGAACACCGCATGGCACAACTAGAACATCTGCAGATGCACTCTTTCCCCTCCAAGCATTTTCTTAGGCACTGCTCTCTCTCTCCTTCAAATACCTCCTTGGAGCTCCTGAGGTTTTCATCACTTTTTGCAAAAAGAATACACTTGCTTGTGTGTATGTGTGTGTTTACACATGTACGTGTGTGGAGGTCGGAGTCCTGAGGTTTGAACTCAGGTCATCAGTTTTGGCAGCAAGCATCATTAACCCCTTAGCCATCTCACCTGCCCAGTTTTCTGAACTGTTGGTACCCATGGCTGTTTGCCTGGTTGCTTGCTAGTCTCTGAGTTCCATCAAGGTAGGGATTATATCCTAGCCATATAGTCATGCTTAGCAAGCGTTAAAAAAGATAAAATTTAGTTATGTGTATATGTATCTGTGTTGGAGTATGTACACACAGCACATGTGCCCACAGCCAATGTGGGTGCTGGGAACTGAACTAGGGTCCTCTGCAAGAGCAGTACTCAATTGCAGAGCGATCCCTCTAGCTCTAAATTAGCAAACCTTTTAAAGACGGGCTCATCTAGCAGGCTAGCTCAGCTGATTAGAGTATGGTACTGATAAAGATGGGTTCTGCCAAGGGGTGGCAGTGACAATGACCCAGTGTTAAAAGCTGGTACTACTCTTGCAGAGGACCCAAGTATTCAAGTTCATTTCCTATAATGCATATTGAATGGCTTACAGTAGCCTGTAATTCTAGTTCTAGGGGATCCTACACCTCCAATTTCCTTGGGCACCTGCACTTACGTGTTCTCTCTCTCTTCCCCTCTCTCTTATACACACACACACACATATACATGCATACCCCCAATAACAATGTTATAAAGATGGAGTCCACCATCAGTTCCTAGGTGTCTTGTGGTTTTCCTGACACTGTTCAACTAGCTACATCACAGTTGGAGGATTTAAAAACAGAGAAGCCAGAAGTCTGGTGCTGGCTAGTGGGAGGTACCTGAGAGACCACCCTGGGCAGGCAGTGCAGGTGCTCCCTCTACCCGGTACTGCCTGCTGCTGATGTAGTTTCTGCCTGCGGCCAGAGCATGATCCACAGGATGCTTCTCAAACCTGGATGCCAAAGCATGCACACATCCTGCACCAGGGGCACTAAGGCAACCTCAAAATGCACTGATTGGTTTCTTCTTCATGGGGATGAGGCTATGTGGACAGGAGCGAAGCAAGGGCTTAAAGCAGTGGGTGCAACAGGGGGAGCAGACATGGAGGGATGCTGCCTCTGACAGTGAGTAGAACAGCTTTTGGGTTAGGCAGGAGCAGGCTGGAATTCCATCTCTACATCATAGCTACTGGATAAACCGGTTGTGTGGTATGGTAGCCTCTCCCAGACTCCCCCCCCCTTCAAAAAAAAAGTATGTTCACATCCTTGCTCCAAGAGCATGTGAATCTGACCTTATTTAGGAAAGGGTCTTTGTAGATATGAGTAAGAATCTAAAGATGAGATTTCCTTGGGTTACTCTGGTGGGTCCTAAATATGACGACAAATATCCTTTTGAGAAAAACAGAGTGCTGGGTAGATGTCTTTGCTAAAGCACTGGCCATGGGAGTGGGTGTAGGCAGCTGAGTTTGGCACCCCAGAGCCACATAAAACGCTAAGTGTAGCCACGTACACTTGTAGCTCTGGTACTAGGAGGTTCAGACCAGGCTAGCTGGGCAGTCTGTCTAACTAGTCAGTAGGCTCCAGGTTCATCAAGGGATCCTATCTGAAAAACTGAATTAGACAGCCACTGAGGAGAACACCTGATGTCAACTTCTGGCCTTCAACACATATATACAACACACAAATAAATACATAAGAAGAGAGAGAGAGAGAGAGGGGAAGAAAAGAAGAGAGGAGGGGACTACAGAGAAAACATGGGAAAACAGACATTAGCAGCCTTGACCCCCTATAAGCATGGCCAAACACCTGCATTTCCAACTTCTCTATGACAATGGGAGGACAGATTCCTATAGTTTCAAGTCACCGAGTTAGTGACACCTGGATAGTGGCGCTCCAGAGACAGTTGTTTGGGTGAGTTGCCCAGCCGGGAGCCTGTTAGTTTATCCGAAAGTTTAGCGAGATTGGGCCCTAAGTATAGGCTGCTTTGAGAGTCATAGAACTCCTACACGCCCTGGACAGAATTCTGCTATACGGGCAGTAATGCTGGATTCATCCAGCAGGTGGCAGGAGATGGATCCTCGGCCAAGATGTTTTCGGAAAAGGTACAGCCCAGGGAAGCACCTGCAGGAACAGGCCCTCCTCAGCTCACAAACCTGTGGGGTCCAAGGTCCACACTGGGGGAGTTCCCAGCTGTGCTCAGAGTGGTTCTTTTCCCCTTTGAACATTGTGCTTGATCCAGGTGGCAATGGTGAATTTGAAAATCTGGTTACCAAACGAAGCATCTATGACCAAACCTGGCCTTCATCTTTAAAATAACAATAAGATCAAACAAATAAACAAACAAAACCAAGCACAACACACAGTAGAGCCCACTTTGAGACCAGAAGGATGAACGTGTGAATTGTAGGGGAAACAAGAAGGGACCCAGTCAGGATTAAGTTATGGATTACTTCTGTAAGAGTCTCATATCCAGCTTTTCTGTTCATTCATTTATTTACCCAGCAAACACAAAGCCAGTCCTTCTGCTGGTCTTGGGAGTATTCAAGAAGTTCACATTTTACTCTGAGTGGGCATGTAAGTGAGAAAGGTGTGCACGGGGCTCATGTTTGCTCCTGGCTCCTAGCTTACTAGCATCCAGATACTGTTTGAGCGTAAGGCACTGGATGAGAAATCCCCTGGCAAAGGGTATTTCCTTCTCAATTTCTTTTTAAAATTCCACTCTTAAAGAAACCTACTGTAAGACTGGGTGTGGTAGTGTACAACTAACACTCAGGAAGCTGATGCAGGAAGATTGGGACTTCCAGGCTAGACTCAGCTACCTTCCAGAGCTCACCCCCACCCTGAACAAAACAAAATTACTGCTTTCTCTACTGGTTTCTTGACAAAATATTGCACAAGAAGCAACTTAAGGGGGGTAAGGGTTCACCTTTCAGTTCACGGTGTGAGGATATGGTCAGGAAGACAGTGGCGGGAGCTTGAGGCAGCTGGGTCACGTCGTATCTGCAGCCAGGAAGCAGACTGCAATAAATGCCGGTGCTCAGCTCACTTTCTCCTTTTTAATCATTCCAGGATCCCTATCCATGGACTGGTGTCATCCCCGTTTAGGGTGAGTCTTTATACCTAATGCCTAACAGACCATCTCTGAGGATTGTCTCTAACGTGATTGTAAATTTCTCAAGGTGACAACTTAGACCAACTGTCACAATGAGCATTGGAAAAAAACTGTAAAGCAGGGCACCTGCTCACTTCCTTTTCTTTAAAAGCTGGAGGTACTTCCATCCCTAACCAGGGACTCTTTTGTGGAAGAGAAGAGTGGCTTTTTAAAAAATTGAAGCTGACACCTTTTATTTTTTCTATATTTTATGATAGTATTTTCAACGGCTTACATCCCTGGACAAATTTCAACTCTGTTGTGTGCACTGATATTGGGGCTAATTGTCTCCTTTTTAAAAATAAAATTACAAGAAAGTTTGCTGGACTTTGTGCTCATAAAGGGGTTGCCTAACCGGAAGTATCTTAAAGCCCTTCTCTCTGCAGCTTCTAGGCTCCTACCGGCTGGTGAGTCAGGAGGAGCGGCCAGCTGCTACACAGGTGTTTCCAGCGGCATCCTCCCTGCCATGCGTACGGGGCTTTGTGAGATCCAAAGGGATTGCATTTCTCCCGTACCATCTAGCATGACCCTACCATGACCTTTCAGAAGCCATGTTGGTGTTGCCATTCCTATGCTACAGGTACCGGGGAAAATACCCTAGGATGAAGAATGACAAGCCCAAGCACAGAAGTTAGTTTTCAACCTGATGTGATGTCACTTGTGTGCCAATTACTTAACAACAGCAGAAAAGGCAATGGCTGATGTTAATCCACACATGACATAGCATGAACATTGGGGTGGGAGAAGGGAAAAGAAAAGGAGCCTAATTCTTCCTCTCCCACTTTCTCTTCTGTTCTCCTGTCCTCTCTTCTTCCTTCCTTCTAGACCATTTGGACAAGAGAAGAGGTGGGCAGAATTGTGTCAGAAGAATAAGCAGATATCACAAGTTAGTAGCCTAGAGTTATGGAAGTTCACAGATGTGAAGTAGTGATTTAGAAACATATTAATCAAGACTGAACTATGTGCAAATATTTATAAACAAAACAAAGACAAAACTCCAAAGATATTTCTTAAATTAGAAGTTAGAATCAGAGATAAATTGTACTGTTTTTTTGCCATGCACAAGGCCCCGGATTTGATCCCCAACATCACAAACAGCCCCCACCCTAACCTTAATGCAGAGATCAGATAAGAACTGTTCACAGTCATTGATGGCAGAGAAAGTTCACACTTTTGTCACACGGGGGCGCCTGACACCACCAGGTCATGAATGAGAGCTTCCTGCTACTCCAAGTTGCTGAAGGACTCCTCACCCTATAGATTTTATATATCACAATAAGGGCTCAGAGGAAGACGTAACTCCCCCACAAGGCTTCAGAGTAAGGAAACAACTGAGTGGACCTTTGTGTTTGCTGTCCAGCTTCACTAAGTACCAGCCCAGGCCTGACCATCTTTCCACTTAATGTCTCACTACCTTACTCCTCATTCCTTGAATTACTCTGAGAAGTAAATGCAGGAATGTGAATGTCTTGGCACGGTTAAGACAGTCTGAGAAAAAATTACCAGTTGCTCTCACCACTTTTAAGACGCCTGAGTGAGCGGGTGGGCAGAGCAAGAGCATTGGTAAAGGACTACAATTTCCGATACAAGAAGGGAAGGAGGCAGGCTGAGTGCTGTGTGCTAGGCACTGTGTACTTTGTGCTCCTAGAAGATACAGATAGCATCATTTGGTTCAAAGATGAGCCTGTGTTGAAGATGCGATCGGAACTCAGCATTGTGTCTCATCACGGATGTGCTCTCTGCCTTCTAACAGTGCTTTCTGTAATGTAGACCTAACAGCATCTTGCCACAGCTGGAGGATGCCAACAAAACCTTCCTGGGATGCTGGCCCTTTTCTTCCTTTCTCCCACGTACCCAGCTAATCTCACAGGCACTAAGTTAATCCAGGCAGGTTACTCCAACCTCAGAAGGAGGGAGAGTTTCTGTACTCGGGATTCCCTGAGGGGGACTATGTTCCTTATTTAAAAGGTTGTTTTCTCCCATGGCAAGCCTTTAGAAAATGATAACCAGCAGTCTTGAAGAACTTGTGAATCAGTTATTAACAGGTGGCTCACAGTGACAGAATACATTATAATCCTAGCATATAGGAAGCAAGGGCAGGAGGATCTCAAATTTGAGGTCAGCCTAGGGAGTGAACTTTGTAGTGAGACTTAGGTTTTTGGTTTGTTTGTTTGTTTTGTTTTGTTTTTTAATGCCAGGGTTGGAGGGATGGCTCAGTTAGTTAAGAGCACTTGCTGCTCTTACAGAGGATCAGAGTTGGGTTCCCAATATTCATGTGGGGCAGCTCATAAATGCTTGTAACTCCAGCTCCAGGGGGTTCTAACACCCTCTTCCATCCTCTGTAACCAACAACACACATGTGGCAAATATTCTTGTAGACATATACACATACATAAATTAAATAAAAATGCATCTTTTAAAAGATGTTCAACAAAAGAAATACTTATGTAGTGCTTGGGGTAGATTCCTTGTTGAAAAAATCCCAGATATTGTATTTAAGTGTGTTCTTAAATGGATGATATTGAGTCTGACTGTGAGACTAGGGAGTAAAAGAATCCCTGGTGACTTGGAGTATTAACATTTTGAGAGAAGGAAATTGGCCCAGCTATGGGAACTTAGAACATGACAAATGCCAGGGACTGGCCCTGACTCTACACAGTCTTCTGATGAGAAGGACACTTGACCAGCAGACCTGAACAATGCGTCCACAGGCAAGTCAATCCCTAATGGCTAAGAACTCTGTGTACAGCGGAGTTGGGGAGCACATCCCATTCAACACTTGTTCACCAGCTTGCCTCTGGATAATCTGGCTTCCTAAGAATTGACTTTTTAACAGGGTAAAAACATACTGGGCTGGTCAACTGTATGAACTTCTAGTACTAATTGAAAGCTGATTTTTCTCATTGCAAATGATTCAGTTGGTTTTCTGGCTATAACTTGACCTCTTTGGCCACTTGTCCCCAGGGAAATATTAATCTCTTTTAGAAGATTTTCTGCTACGTGTTGATGTCGCACACCTTTAATCCCAGGAAGGCAGAGGCAGGTGGTCTCTGTGAGTTCAAGGCCAGCCTGGTCTACAAGAGTTAGTCCCAGGACAGACACCAAAACTACATAGAGAAACCCTGTCTTGAAAAAACAAACAAGCAAAAAGAAGATTTTCTTTCTCCCTGCGAGTGTTCATCCCCACTTGTTGGCCGTTGAACACACAGCGTGTAGTTCATGTGCTCTCTGTTAATGTGACTGCCCCGGGGGAAAAGATTCAGGAAACAAGAACCAACAGAGTCAGATCTCTTCTGGGGAATGAGACCAGCACACAGGTTCGGAGCTGTTAGGGAGATTTAGTCTCTGGAGACAATTCTCATGAGCCGTAACACAGGAGACTGAAGGCCCTCGTGCCTTAAAGGAAGAGTTGGGAATCTTATCTCCCACCCCTCTCATCCCACAAACCAGTTAGTTCAATTCAGCTAATGAGGTGTCTTATTCTTATTGACAGGAGACCAAGAGGTTCTCAGAAGAGCTGTGTCATGACGTTCCTTGTCTGACATCTTTTAATGGTTCTTACCTACAGCATCAAGTTTCCTTGGCAGGAAAACTAAGCGGCCGACTGCTTCAGTCTCTCAATTATTAAATCTCTCCTTCGCTGTAAAGCCCTGAGAGGTACAGTTGGAAGCTTGAACTCGTGGTTATGGTCCCTAGAATTCTTCATGTAAGCCACAGAATATGGATCTCATGGTGCCAGGTTAACTGGGCTACTCCCCTTCTGATGGCTTCCTCCCTTGTTCAGTAGTCAGCCACCCTGGCCTCTGGTCTCAACTGTTAAATGAAGGAAAGTGCACAGTCAAATGCACAGCCTTAGCTGATGCTTTTACAAAAAAAAAATTGTAGGGCTAGGGATATAACTCAGTAGTACAGTGCTTGCCCTGGGAGTGGGGGAGAAAGAAACAAAATACTTTGGTAGACTTGTTTAATGGGAGAAGATCCCGCTCCCTTTTAGCAGAAGAAAATGTTCATTGCATAAAATAATACAAAATGCACAAAATCAACTGGGAAAAAACTATCCATAATCCCAATGACCATATAACCAATAAATTACCAATTTTGTATTGGTGGGTTTTTTCTTGCTGGAGGGCCTTATGTATGCCAGCGGAGTGCTACAATTGTGATGAGCTATACACACAGCCTGGTACACTTCTTGAAGATTTTTAATGTAAATATATACGTATATTAACATATACGTATATTTTACATTGTTATTTGTGAGATATCATTTAGCATACCACTATGGCCTGTCCCCACAGGACAATCTCCAGATTTCCATTCCAGGTTCTTCCCAGCCCATGCCATTCTCTGAAAGCATGCTTTTCCTCATATCATTCTCCTGTTAAGTGACCTCATCAGTTTCCTACCTTGACTTTCTACACATGAATTCCAAATTGTTTAGGCATTATTCAAGGCATATCAACTTGATTTTCCAGTTTACCTTCCTTTACTTTCCTTGGTGCAGCTGATGAAGCCGTGCAAGCCTAGGATCTCATCCGTCCCTCACTGCTGTTTCCTGCCTCTGCGCAAAATGCTCTCTTCCAGCTGGATGTCTGTCCCTTCTCCATTTCCTAGCTATTGGAACCCTTTGGTGACAGTCTTTTCCAGAAGGTTGTGCCCACCCCAAGGCTCTCAGCAAATGCACTACAAACTAAGCCAAGTGATTTTTTTCTTGACAAAAGAAAGTTATTGCTCTTGACAAGTCCTCAAAACATATGTTCCTTCTTCAGATGTGCGTATGCATATTAGAATCAACATACGTGTACATACATTATGATAGACTGTGTAAAGAGAGATTGGTTAGAGGTCACATTTAACGTTTCCACACTTCACTTCCATTAATATTTCGCATTTATAAAAATTATGTATGTCTACAGATGCACAGAAATGTGCATGTTTTTGTATACATGCATGTATTTACATCTACAGTATATAAAGGTTTTACGTTGTATTTCCTGGAGACTGGTACTTCCAAGGTACTAGGTAACCTCAGCACCCATGGTTCTTGGGTGACCATGGTGTCTGGTTAGGGACACCTAGGGAAAGGCACCTGAGTCTCATGCCTGCATGAATCTGTGGGGCTCCTCCTTGGTTTTGTGCTATAATTGACAAAGAGCTCTTAGTAAATTCGCTGAGCCGACATAGTTCAGCTTAGAGACCATGAGACTTGACTGGGTGGATATTTGATGATGTGCAAATTGGTGGGTAAGGGCTTAGTGAAACAACTTGATTCTCCAGGTTATATCTTCTAGGAAGTATCAACATTTAAGGCCCCTTTCATGGCTAAGAAGTTAGGTTTGAGTCATCCCTGAAGAAGTGTACAATGTCTCAAAGCCACAAACATGGCAAGTATAGGAACTTCGTATGGCTGTTTCACCCAAGAGAAGTTCCCAGTTCCATAACATTCCTCTTAGGAGGTGGATTTTTTTAAAAAGATTTTTAAATTTAAAATGTGTGAGTGTTTGCCTACATGTTTGTATGTGTACCATGTGTATGCCTGGTACACTTAGAGGCCAGAGAAGGCATTGGATCCCTTGGAACTAAAGTTACAAACAATTGTGAGCCACCACATGGCTCTTATGCAAGAGCAGTAAGTGTTTTTAACCACTGAATCAACTCTCCAGCCATCACCTCTAAATCTCCCTTTGAAACAGTATCTTGCTGTATAGCCCAGGTTGGCCATGAGTTTGTAGTCATCCTGCCTCAGCCTTCTGAGGTCTGGGCTGGGGTTATGGGTACAGATAACATGCCCAGATCATAGGTTGGCTTATTTCAGGGCTATGAGGATATGAGCATGCTGTTCTAGCCTCCCCCAGAGACTACCTTGCCAAATTGTTTGGCTGACCTTTATCCATTGCTGAGCCAGTAAGCCCCAAGCCATGCACAGAAGAATTGGCATCGGGTTCGTATGACACCCAGACTATGCCTGAACTTTGATTGTTGTTGATAACATTGTCATGAAGCCTTCTTCTGGACCCTGGCTTTATCCCATGGTACTTTCTCTTTCCACGGTAGTCTCTTCCTAGATTCCCTCCACTCCTGTGGCTTTAATACACCTCTCCCACAATGCATCCCATCCATTTCAGAGACCCTTGTATCTGGTCCTTACTTGTGATAACACTCTTGATATCAACACTGTAAAGTCAGTTGTTTAAAACTAGGTCATCACTAGCTTTTTACCACCATCAGGAGGATAACACCTGCCACCCAAGCCCTCAGGGAAGACACTGGAGAGGTGTTAGCATCAATGCCTCCTCTTTCAAGCACTTCTCGCTCCACCAACCTACAGTGATGTAACAACCACCAAACTGCCAGTTCAGAAACTTTTAGTTTTGTCCTGCTATGTAGCTCTGACCGTCCTGAAATTCATTATGTAGATCAGGCTGGCCTAGAACTCCCAGAGATTTGCTTGCACCCAAAGTCCACTTTTCCTGTACCTTCCCATCCTGAAAGTGTTGCAGAACTCTGGTGACTCAGAGTTGAGCATGCAAACTGTAACTGAGGGCTTAGTAAAGAAACCACCAAAATGGCTGCTCCTTTGAGGGGGCAGGGGTTATTTGTAGATAAGAGAGAGAAAAGAGTCAGAACAGAGAGAAAAATAAGCAGACTGGATATAGCCAGTTCTGTCTGCAAGAGAAGTGAGACTAGCAAGAGAGAGAATAGCAAGAAAAGCAGAGGCAAGGAGGAAATCCTGCCTTTATTTAGAGGATGAATGCGTGTCTGGGAACAGGAATGGCTGTGAACTGCAACAGCCTGGGAGCTAGCAGAGTGGAGGAGTCGGGGTGGGTGGGAAGAGCCAGGAGGATAACATGGACTTTGAAATGCGTAACACGTATCTGTGAATAAGAACTGAGGGAGTCCGGAGGACAGCATGAACTTTGATCGTAGCCACAGGTATATGTCAATGGAGAGCCATATGTCCCTATCTCCAGAGGCAAGGGAAGATAATGGAAATGACTCCTTTTTGCATACAGAGAACGTGCTTCCCAGGTTCCGGAGGAACTATCTGCAAGAAATCCTGCAGTCCAGCTTGAGCTGAATCTAGACTGTTAATTCTGGACACACACACTGTCCTCTGGAGGTAACACAGGCCAAAGGCGGGTTGACTTTATCCAGACCTAAAATAGTCATGTTGGCCCATAGAGTTCAGCTCCGATGCAGCACCGTAACCTGACACCATGTCTTTTGCAGTCCCTTTCCATTGCTCTCTTCTTGTACTCCTTGCTCACTCCTCCCTCTCCTCCCATCTTCACCTCTCATTTCTTCCTCCTTTTATGTTTTTATTGATATATGTATCTCAATTGATTGATGTATCTCAGGCCACATACTGCATGCATATAATGTGTGCAGCTTATTGAGTTTGGACATGTTTATGTCCTCACATTCATTCTTCCCATTCTCTTTGTGTTCACAGAGCAGCCAGAGAAATGCGCGCACATGAGTGTGTGAGAGTGCATTTGTGCATGCATGTGCGTGTGCATGTGTGTGTGTTTCCTTTTGTTGTTTCTTCGTCTTTTTAAAAACACAATATGATAATGTCACGTTAGGCACTACCAATGCTTCATCATTTCGTTAATTAAAAATTTAACTCCTTTTCGTAGCTCGCTGTGCCTTGCAAGACTGGGACACACTCTTTCCCAATGTCACCCTGCCCTGTCTCTCTGTCCTCTCCTACCCTCCAGATCATTTTCTTCACAGATGCACAGAAATCCTTCCTGGTCACAGTTGCTGTTTCCTTCTGCTATGGCTGATTCATAGGCATCTTTTAAGTTGCACCTTGGGGTGAAGCCATAGTGACCCAAGTAGATGGCTTATGTACTGTCCCAGGACCCTGCACCTTCTCTTTTATCATGATGGTTGTCATTTGGTTAACAGCTTGTTTGATATTGGGTTCCTCTATTAGTCTGGAACTACATGAAGTGAAATTAGAAACTGTGTCTTCTTGTTTAGTGACGTCTTCCCGACACCTACAAGTCCAGGCACTCAACCAGTGTCATTATGTGGTTAATGGATAAAAGATGCCCTAACTTTAGGTTTTTACAACCTAGTAAGACACATCAGTGATTTCAGTTGTGCTATTTTAGTTTTGAATGGTATTCTACTTGCTTATTGCTTCTCACTGAGTTTCACTTTCTCATAGACCTTGCGTGAATATTCACTCTAGCTACCTAGCATACTGGGAACTGGGAGCTGGGAGCCAGTGCTGACTTAGACTTTGAACTCTTCCAGAGGCATTTACTAACTAAGTAGGAATCAATCACATTTATATTTTTATGGAAAATACAGACAGAGAAAGGGTTGTGGATTTTTATAGGAGTAATATCTTTTTTTGGAATACTTGATGAGATCATTTATTCAAGAATAGGCAGGTGTCAGAGAAAGGGTTTAGACCCTTTTGACCCAGTCACTATGGCAATGACGAGGTTAATTACAGTCAGTACAGCCCATGGTCAGGAGAACTGAGCTGACTCATTCAGTAAACACAACAACCAAAAGTCATGCCAAGCCAGGTTAGCAGGTTGGAGTTCACCCCCAGAGGCAGTGGACAACAGCTCCGTGGTGTTCCTCAGTAGGTGTCTCTCTGGCTCACACAAGGGCCATTTGCAGCTGAAGACTTCTGTTGCTAAGCTTTACTTTCCAGAAGCAGCAGCAGAGCTGAGGTCTCCATGAAAAATACTGAAATTACCCTGTCTTCCTGACCGCAAGGCTTGCATCCCTCTCAAGTGATGCTAAGGTCATGAGGTTATTTCCTCTAGGAAAATAGGAGAGAAGGAGTCATAGGTGGCTAGTTCTTCTCTAAACTTGACCTTCATTGCTTTCTTCCTGTCTTCAAATTATGCTGTAGGTGTGGAATTTGTTGGTGGCCTTTTTCTTTTCTACTTTCACTGTTCGTCTCTCTCCCCTCAGACTTCTTTCAATCCTGGAAACTGCCAGTTGTGGCAAGATACACGTGCCCTGTCTGTGCTGTGGAGGAACAGTAGGTATTTGTGACATGTGCCTGCTGGTCTAGTGGCTTGTGTAAGCATTT